ATTTTTGATAGTAAGATTAGAATTATGGATATTTTTTTTTTGTATTTTATTTTTCACGTGTATATTTGTATTTATTATTATTCACGCATAAAGAAGGGTGATTGTAATAATTTTCTAGATACAATTTTGGAGGTATTATCATCACACACAACATGGCATATTTATAAATAAATCAATTTTTTTTCATATATAGTATTTATTCAACGTATTTTTTTTTTTTATTGTTTTGTGTTAATGTTCAATTTTCTCACGTGATTAAATATTAAGGTTATAAATATTTTTCCAAATTGAATATAAAGTACTAATATTATTTGCAGCCATCTTCTAATATAAATTAATGGATGAAATTTTTTTTTTTTAATTTATCAAATAAATGTCCAAAACTTTGCTTATTAATCAATTATTATAATATTGATTTGATTTATTCGGGATCTAGACGTCGATTCCTCATAGCACGTGGTTGTCTTGATTGTGTCGGCGGTATTGTTGGTGGAATGGAATTACCAACAGCCAAAGGAACATCGTCGTCTTCATCATCTGATTGTATATATGGCACATAATTTTCATGATAAGAACCTCTTTGTCCAGGTATTGGTTCCAAATATTGTTGACTTCCAAGAAATCTACTTGATCTTGGATCTACACCCACTGGAAGTCCAGTATAAGACTGTCGATTATATAAAAACTCTCTTTCTCTTTCCACCATCATAGCTTGCTGTCGTTGTTCCATTAATCTACGTTCCCTTTCCCTTTCGAATGCTCTCTCCCTTTCTAATTCCGCTTGCCTTGCCAATAATCCTGGACCCTTTGCTCTTCTTTGATTTTCTCTTGCAGTAATGGCTCCAACTAATCCGGTTTGTGGATCCTTTTGTCTCTCTTGTAAATTAATCAAGGGTGCCCCTGTCTCCCGAGCGAGAAATTCTTGTTCACGAGCTGATAGTTGTTGAGATGGTGGTCTTGAATCTATTAAACTCATTGGTCGAAAATGGCTTGGTGTCTGAAATTGACCCCGATCATCATAACTATCATCTAAATATAAGGATTCTCGTGTATAATCTATTTGTCCACTACTAACACGTCTTCGACCTGCCATCATAGGTCCAGGATTTATCATTGACCTGGGTCGCCCCCCAACATAATCCTCATCGTAATATTCGCCACCCCGAATGAGTGGTGTCATTACACTACGTCTATTATCTATCGGTGGATAACCGAAATTTTCCACATAATCGCCTGGTATTGGTGGTCCCCCCCATCTTTGATTAGGTAGGTAATTTGGAGATAATGACCTAGGTGTTATGTTTTGTCTACCAAAATTAGCGTTAAATCCAACTCCTTCTTCGACTAATGCAGCCAATGGTTCTTCTTCTGATGTCGTTGATTTGGTTTCAGATTCATCGCTACTGATATCACTCGATCTATTCTGCCTCGTTGCATTCTTTGGTTTGTCTTTTTGTTTTGTTGGCTTGAATACCTTTCCTGTTCTATTCAAAAATTCATCATCATCATAATCATCCTCATCGTCAGATGAAGATGATTGTTGTGAATACTTTTTTCCTTTGTTGCTCTTATTAACGATTTCTATTGTATTATTCGCAGGTTCATTCGTAGCAATATCGAAATTTATCGCACTAAAATCTATGTCTAGACCTACCGTAGACATTTCAAATTGATAATCATTTTGTTGATTGTCTCCTTTACGAAATTCATCAGCTACGTTTTCACTAGTAAGTATGTTACGATTACGCACAGGATTTCTTCCTAATGGAATATTGTCATTGACATCGTTTTCAAAACTTCCTTGAGGATATAAATGTTGTTGAACTTGTGGAATAATATTACCTCGAGGCTGTTTTAATACAGACCCATAAGGAGGTGATTGTTGGTATGGTCTTGGTTGAGGTTGTGCGCCAAATTTTTTATCATCATCGTTTAATACTTCATTATCATCACTACTGTCGGATGGTTGAGGCACAGTTCTTGTTTTCGTCTTCTTATTGTTTCCTTTATGACCAGGTTTAGCAATAACATTTTTATTCTTCAGACTAGAATCTTCGCTACTGTCTTCATCACTATTATTTTCATCACTCTTGGTCATTGAAGATTCTCCTTCACTCTCATAACTATCTTCACTGTCAGATGGAAGTGGGGCAAGTCTCTGCTTATTTTTACCTTTCTGCTTTGCGGGTTGATTTTTAAATGAAACTCTCCTTTTAGGTTTGGTTGACGCATCTCCTGTAACAGGTTCATCTTCACGCTCAGCAACAGCAGTCATAATTTCGGACATAAGGTCAGTGTCTTCAAATGTTCCAAGGCTACTACTTCCAAAGTTAATTTGCTCATCTGTTTTAATTTTTTCTAAAATTTTTGCATTTTCTTGTGTATTTTTTAAGAGTGTTGGGTCATCGTATTCATCATCTGAATTTTCACTTTCAATTGGTGAATTATTATCTTCTTGTTGATCTTCTGATTCATCGCTACTAGCTAATTGTTTAGCTGGCTTTTTACTTCGTTTTTTCGACTGTTCTTGTGATGACATAGTGTTAGGAGCTAAAGGTGAATGTGGTGATATGGGCGAAGTCGGAATTGAACCTTTTTGAGAACCTCCGGTCATGGAATTAGGACGTGAGGATTGACTTACAGGTCTCAATGTAGTAGGGGAAATTGAACTTGTTGATGAAGTAGTAGATTCACCTGAAATTGCCCTTTGACGAACATAATCATCTGATAAACCATCAGTCACAATCTGAGGAAGACTTTGTATACTTAAATTTTTTTGCTGATTTACACTTGTAAGTAGTTGTTGAGAATTATCAGGTGATTGTAAATTATAAGATTGACGTAAAATTTCAGCAAACGCAGCTTTCACATCCGCTAACGATTCACGAACTTCAACATGTTCTATTTCATTAAGATCTAAAAATAACTTTGTGTTATTCCTGCCAGTTGGTACAGCAAAAAAGGGAGAAATTGGATCTTTAAAATCATATAATAATTCTTTTGGTCGACCATATAATTTAAAACTATCAAAAAAGCCAAAAAGCCATTTTGTCATTTCATTAAGTGAGTCTGTTGTTAAAATGGCAAAATCACCAGGTTTATTTTCAGTTGGCTTTGTAAGAAACAGAGTGCCTTCAACACGAAAAGTAACTGTTTTATCTATAAGGGAGGGACTTTCAGGATAAATAGCGTAAGTTTGAAGAACGTTTGCTATAGTCATGAAAGGCTTTTTTGATCTTTTTGTTTCATAAAATAAAGCCTGTCCTCTAGTAAATGCTAAATCTTTTTTCTTTTTTTCCTCAGCACGGTGATCCGCTACCACGACCCAATATTTTTTAGATTCAAGGTTACCAGAAAATTGAACTTGAAGATAACCTTCTAGCTTACCCTTCATTAATACAGTTCCATTACCAAAATCTTTTAGTCCAGGACGTCTTATTAGAGTTGCTGTGTAAACTTCTTGTAATCTTGAACCTTCAAAACAAGATAAACGAATTGCATTAACCCATAAATTTAAAGTTTTATCATCCGAAGTTTGTAAATAGGATTTTTCTCCCTGGCCGGAATCAAGAAAAAAAACATGCATCCGTTGATCCATACAATTATCTTGTGATAAATCTATTGAAGAATTAGATATATTTATTACGGAGGGAGTTTGAGACACTCTTGTTATTTCAGAATCAGGATCGTTCACTGTTTTCCAAAAACTTAAGAAAGGACCACATAATTCCACGTAATACTCTATCCAGTCATTATTAGAACTATTGATCTCTTGTTTACATAAATAACCTTCTATATAAATTTTTTGCGAAAAAACATCAAAAAGATGCAAAACGGGACGCATGTCAGGAGTTACTTGATCGGACTGAAAAGATGGCCTACGTGACCTTTGCTTCCTTAAGGTGGTTGGGCGAAGAGTGGAAGATCTCGGTCCAGGATAAGTATTATAACCTTCTACTGTTTCCTTTGTGTTTGAAACCGAGTTCAAGTTTGAAGTACTTGTTGGTAAAGGCGTATTTGTTGTAAAATCTGCCATCGTACTCGAATCGGAAGATTGTTGTTCAGGATTATTTTGTATTTCGTTTTGTTGTATAAGAAGTTGTGAATTTGGTGATGATGACCGGCTATTTCCTGCCATTTCAACCGAAGGATGTGAGAGAAAAACGGGGATACGTTTTTTTTTTATTTTTTTTTTTTTTTAAAAAGAAAAAAATTATTATTTGATTATTATAAAATAAAAATTTTTTTTTTTTTTTTTCTGGGCCATTTTCAGGTTTAGCGCATTACCATATTAAAGGTAAAATTAGAAAATGATTCGTTATATTGTATATTGTGGTATTTTACACAAACAAAATAAAAGCAATCCATAACTATTATGCATTAATTTTTTAGGATTTTACTTTTTTGTTTATAATTGGCTCGAACTCGGCCGGACAAAATTTTCAAAAATGTATAGTAGGTTAACTTACTGTGAAAACATTCCGAAATTTCCGGTAATTTCTTATTAGTTCAAAATAAACTGTTTAAACTGGTTGTTAATTTAGTTCATATATATATATATGTATATATTACATTATGTGGTGACACATTGGTGTCAGTTTTGTTGACAATGTATAACCTTCCAAAAATTATTAGATTTCATCATATATTGTGGTGTTTATATTGTTGCAGATAAAGGGTATTTCGTTCCCAGAACTTCATTACAGTAATATGTAATTGTATAAAATGGTACTATGACGCTAATAACATAAAACATGGCGCATATCTGATAACAATAAATTTCTTATAATTCGAAAAAAATAATATATATATATATAAATCACAATAATCAAAAAAAATATTTATATATTTATATTTTATTCTTGTGCTTTCGATCCCTCTCCTTATTTAACGTGTAGATTTGAAAATAATTTGCTTTTACTGCGTTTTTGCGTTGTTTAGCAAATATTATTATAATAATAATAATAATAATAATAATTAAAAAAAAAAAAAAATAGCAAATGTCAAGATTACCAAAACATCCTACTACTAGCGGAATACCGTCTTCAGGTCTTCCCTCACCAGGGGGGAAGCGTCGCTCATCAGCTGGCACTACAGGAAAGTCTACACTTAACCTTAAAGAATTGACTCCAGAACAGGAAGCATTATTACAAGCAGCCATGGAAAGATATAATCCGTCAGCTACTACCAAATCGAATGAAAATATTCAGACCAGTTCTACCTCAACGCTCGGAAATATTCAATCACTCCCCTTAACACAAGCTACGAATAACCAACCAAATAGTCCTTCAAAAAAACCTGGTGGAAGAAGACAGAGTATTTCCAGAATGACACGTCCAACACTTCCACCGTTATCTGAAAAATCACCTGTTAAACAACCTTTAACAATGCAGCATACATCTCCTTCATCAAAATTATCAAGTAATTTTGGTTTACCTCCACCAAACTTATCTTCACCACTTCAACGTTCGCTTTCAGGTCAAAATCAAAATGTTTCGGGTTCTTCGACATTGCCTTCGGCATTAAATCCCGCTCACCAACGCCTACAGGAAACACCTCAGCAACGTCCAACCTCTCCTTCGCTTGCTTTGTTTTCAATAGGCGAACGAGTTACCGTTGTTTCAATGAACATTTCAGGTACTTTAAAATTTTTGGGTCCAATTGATGCTAAGCGTGGAACTTGGGCCGGAATAGAAGTGGATGTTCCAGGAACAGGTAAAAATGACGGGTGTGTGAACGGGTAAGTTATATCTCACTCTTATTTTATATATATATATTGATTAATAATAATAATAATAATAATAATAATAAAAAATAAGAAAAATATTTTTTTTTAATTCTTGTTAACGAAATTCTAAACTAAGTTTAAGTATATTTAAAAGAATAGGAAAAAAAAAAAAATTTTGGACTTATCATTCATTTTAATTTGTGAATATAAGATAATAATCAATACGATTTTAATATTTTTTTTTTTTTTTAGAAATAATTCATTTATTATATTTATCAAATCTCATATCAAAATCATAACGTTGTTGGTGTCCTTTTTTTTTTTTTTTTTAATACTATTATTATTAGCAAATCCTATTTTACTTGTCCGCCAAAATCGGGTATATTTGTTAACTCAACTAACCTTACCAAGCTCAAGGAATCTAGAGATGCGCCAAATTCACCACAAATGCCTTCAGCTAACAAACCTAACGCGTTGATACGATCACCTTCTACTTCAAGTAATTCAAGCGATAAAGCATCACCTGGCACTCATGCTCAAAACGCAGCCATAGCTGCTGGTCGTATTACAGCCGGTTCCCGTGCTTCAAAATATATTGGCGTCACAGCTTCTCAACTTAAACAAAGAGCTTTAGCCAAACCATCAAGCATATCCTCAACTTCTGATAATGTTCCTAATGGACAAATAACTTCACCTAAGACTAAGCCAACATTAGGATTAGGACTCATGAGACCTGGTTCCCTCCAAAATTTAAAGTCACCTTCTACACCTCCATCTAATGGTAGGCAATATCGTAACAGGAGAGATTCGTCATCATCTACCGGATCGGCTGTATCAAATATATCTCAACCAGCATCTTATGTTCCTAAGACATCATCAGGTTTACCTCGTTCACGATCTATTACACCAAATCTTCCAAATGATTCGCAACATACTTCTGATAGTGAGAATAATATTAGAGAAGAAATGAGCAATAAATCACTTCAAGAAAAAATTCAAAAATTACTCAGCGATCCGGATACTCCTGATAGTGTTCCTCTAGGTTTATTTGATCAACAAGCTCTCCGAATTCAACAATTACAAATGAAAATTGAGGTATTAGAAACCGAAAACACCCATTTAAAACTTCATAATAAGAAATCTCAAACTCCTCAAGAAAATAATGATATCGAAAAGGTTCAGTGGGAAAAGGAGAAACAATCTATTTTTGATGAGAGAGAATTAAGAGAGAAAGCCTTGAATGATAAAATATCAGATTTGTCCAGGCAACTTCAAGAAGTTGTTATAAAGGGACATCATCATAGACCAAGTACTTCATTATCAATGATCGCTGATGACGACAACATGAGTGATAAGATTTTACAGTTGACTGAATTAGTTGAACAAAAAGATGAACATCTTAAATCACTGGAAGAAACTATCAAAGAACTTGAAAAGGCAAATTCCAATAAAGGTTCAATCGAAGCTTCGGATAGTATTGCTCAATTAGAAAATGTTGTTCAAAATAAAACAATTGAGATTGATCAATTAAATGCAAAATTTGATCAATATAAACTCGATTCAGAGAGTAAAATTAAAACTTTGCAAGAATCAATTGATAATCTCAAGTTAGCAGGTCAAGAAACGATCAATATTTATGAAACTAAAGTTTCTTCATTGGAAAAACAAGCTGAAGATTTAAAGAAGGGTGGCATAGAAACAATCACTTTATATGAAGAGGCAACAGCTAGAATTGCTGAACGCGACGAAAAAATTAATACGTTGGAAAAGGAAGCAGAAGAATTACGATCTGCTGGTGTGGAAGCTATCGATGTATATGAAAAAACAATCGAAGAAACTAAAAGAGAAGTTGAGGAAGTTAAGAGTCAATTACTTAAAAAGGATGAAATCATTACATCTTTATCCAAAGAAACAGATAGATTAAAGTTAGTGTTAAAAGAGTTGGCAGAAGCAAAGACAAAATTGGAAATGAATGATAAACGGGAAGAGGGTCTTCGAAATGAATTGGCAGATTTACAATCAGGCTTGGAACACATGATGCGTGCAGATGCAAAATCAAGAGAACGTATCTATCAATTGGAAGATGATGTTCGTGAGTCGCAAGCACTTGTTAATAGACAGTTAGAGGAAATAAATGCTCTAAAAAATAATATGCAAGATTTAATGAATGCAAATAATAATAATGAGGAAATTGAAAAAATCAAGGCAGTTTTCGAAAGTGATGCAAGGAGATTACAAGAAGAATTAGAAGAATTAAGAAAAAATTTATCAGAAGTACAAACTGAAAAACGTTCTATTGCGAGTGAAACAGATTCTTTGAAGGATGAGAAAAAAGTTTTAGAAAGAAAAATGCAGGAAAGTGAACGTCAAAAAAATGATATTATTGCCGAGTTAGAAGCTTTAAAAATTCGTAAAAAGCAAGATGAAAATGAAAAGAATCAAATCGTATCTCAATTAGAGGAATTAAGATTAAATGTAACTAAAGATGAAGAGCAAAAAAAGCAATTAATCCAAGAATCGAATATAGAAAAAAAAGCCCTTTTTGAAGAATGCGAGAATACAAAAAAAGAATTGATTGAAACACGCGAAAGTGCTGAAAAGGAACTTGAAGAGTTACAAAAACAACTTTTTGATTTGATTAAGAAAGCTGAATATGCTGAGCAATTGAAGTCTGAATTAGAAATCAAAGCTCAAGAACTGAAAAATTTGTCAGAAAACTTTGAAGAAGCTAAGAATGAAAGTGAAAAATTGAAAGCCTCTCAAGAGGAAGTTGCACAGAATAACCTTGAAAATCTTAAGACAGAATATGAAAATCAAATTAATGTTTACAAAGTGGAAAATGATCAATTGAAACAAAAGATAAAGGATTTGGCGTTGGCAAATAATAATATTCCTGATACCTTACAACATAATACACAAGGATATGAGAAAAAGATCGCTGCGTATGAAGAACAGGTTGCTGGTTTCAAACATATTGTCCATGAATTGACTCGTGAAAATGTATCAATTTCTGGTGAAAATAAAAAGATCTTAGCAGAACAGGAGAAGTTAATGGAAGCTCATAAGCAAGTTGAAAATGAATGTCTTAAGTTGATGGATGAATTAGAACGTTTGCACAGTGAATCACTCAATGGACAGTACATGATAAATATTACACCATCACATACCGATAATACAGATGGAACTAAATCAGGAGAAAATCAAGAAAATTCAGAAGATAAACAAAACGGAGAATCTCAAACAGCACAACAGAACATTAATGGGCAACTTGCCAGTGGCGATTTAACGCGTCTTCAATCACTTTTAGCTGAGAAGCAAACACAATTAGAACGTCTTTCTTCAATGCATAACTCAGAAATACGTGAATTGCGTAAGAAAGTATCTGAATTAGAAAAATCAAAAAAACGAGAAATTAAATCACTGAATAAAGACGTGGCTGAATTAGAATCGTTAATTGAAAGTAAAATATTTCGGGAAGCAGATTTGGAAGAGGAAATTCAACGTGAACGTGGACATTCAAAGCGATTAAAAGATGAAGTTGAAGAATTGCGCGAACAAATAAACGAAATCAGAAATTTAGATAATTCAAATAATGTTCTAGAGGCAACAATTATTGGTAATGGTTTGATCTCTAAATCTTCTATTAAATCAAATGGGGTTGAGGACGGCACAATATATTGTGAGATTTGTGAAGAAGAAGGTCATGACATCATCAGTTGCAAAGCATTTTTTGGTTCAAATTCGTCAAATGTAACAGAGGATAAGAAATCAGATGATAATATACAAAACGAAAGTGCTACCGAAGACAGACCGGTTAGTAGCGTTTTTTCTTTTTTTTTTTAAAAAAAATTGTTATTCAATAGTTAATAATTTATTTTTATTTATTGATTCTATATAGTATTGTGATAACTGTGAGGAATTTGGACTTCACTGTACAGAAGAATGTCCAAATCAAAATGAGACATTTTAATTTTCAACAATAATTATAAAGGGAGATTTCATTTCTTAAAAAATTTCTAGTTTATTTGAATCATTATTTCTAAGTTAATTATAATTAATTTTTTATCATACTTTTTAACTTTTTTTTTTTTTTAACCTTTCCAATGTTAACGTTATTACTATAACATCTGTATAATTACCAATTAATTATATTGCAATTTAGCAATGAAGTTAATCTTTTTAAATTATTTTTTTTTTTTTTTATAAATTGTATTATACAAATTCTTTTATTTATGATAGATTTTAAAATTATTATTTATTTCTTTTTTTTCCCCAAACATTTTCCCCTCCCTTAAAAATGAATTTTTAATTAACTATTTTTTGATTGTCGTGAATGGATTGTTTCAATCATAAATCATTATATATATATAAAAAGTCTTTTAGCATCACATCATCTATTTATTGAATCAAAAAAAAAATTTTTTCTTTATTAATAAAAATATATTATTTTTATATAATAATTAAAATTATTAAATTATTTAATTATAAAAATTACTTCAAATTTTTAAAAAATATGACGTTATTAATAAAAATAAAAAGGTTCGTTATTTTTCACTCAACTTTACTACCAAGTTTCATTTCTTTCCTTGAATTCTTACTAACTTTAACAACATAAGGAACAAAACCTAATCCCCATTTAATCTTATACTCGTTTTCTTTACGTAATAATATCACCCTAATATAACTACTGAATACAATCCAATAATAAGTACCGAATGCAGTACCGATATGCCACCATCCATGTAATTCCAATAAATGACTTAAAGGCATCCCAATTTTATAACGAGATTGTCTTAATTGATGACATGCTATATTATCAATGTTCCAAAACAAAAATCCAAGTCCAAACATCGTCCAAGCTGTGAATAATAATCTTTTCATACGAATTTTGATTGAAGCTTTATGTATTTGAGTTAATAAATAATAAGAACGGAAATTTATAATCGAAACTAATAATGCATATGATACTTGATGAAATACTGGATCATTGATATATAGATAAGCTGCTGTTACACCTGACGCGTATGTAAATAAAGCTAAAGGTAAATATAACCCAAATCTTCTTTTTTCTCCCGTTTCAAAACTATGAATATCAAATGAAAAAAAATTAGGGTTCAATTAATTAAATGAATTTAAATTTAATGGAATAGCACTTACATGTTGTGCGTTAGGATGCATGTTGTATAGATCACTATAATATTAACCAAAGTTAATAATTAAAATGAATTCCTTTTCCAAATTTTTTTGGGAAAATACCCTTACTTGGAAGTTCATCTAACAATTGGAATTCGTATAACAAAGTCATGTGAAAACACCAAGATCCTATCCCGACCAATGCAATTCCAGCATATCCGAGCACATTACGAAATGATAGACCATATTTTAACGTGCTGTGAATACCAAAAATTGCCAAGCTAACTAGGAGAAAAAATTCACTTTGTCAGTCTTCGATTCCCTTTTTTTAATAGGTAAATGATTTTTAACACTTACTGAAAATGAGATTTGTTGTTGTGTTAATGAATTCGGCAATATACTTATGAACTATATAATTTTCCTTTACATATCAATTAAATAAAAATATTTTGAGAAAAAAAAAAAATTTCTAAAATTTACGAAAAAAAAAAAAAAGGCCTCTAATAATTCACAAGCCCAATAATTAATTATTTAAAGTGAAATAAATTATTTTATTTATTATAGTCTTACTTCACACCAGTCCAAAGTTGCCGTTCTAAAAGTATATGTCATCAGATAACTAATTGTTAATAAAAGAAGACTTTTTTTTTTTTTACTTACGGATCTCCCCAGAAGTGTTCTTTCGTTTCTTTCGTTTCGGACATTTTCAAAGTAAAAATAAAAATAATAATACCCTCCCAAGAAGGAGAACAGAAATATTTAATCAACTAACCAATAACATTTCTGTGTTGCATATCTAGATTTTAAAACAGCCTAAGGAGATTACTTATTTTAATTAGAATCAAATATAAAATTTCGAAATTTATGTTCCCAAACACGTGATCTATAATCCAATGACCCGGATCGGATATTAGGAAAATTAATTTCTGATGAATTTTACTGTGCGATGTAGGGTGGCCCATTTTCTGCGGCGTTATACTCAAAATATGCTTGCTTTATATAGTTAGATAGGCAAGTATATTCGAAAATTTTTTATAAAATATGCCTTCGTTTTTTTTATTTTTTTCAAAAAATGCATTTAAAATCTATTATTATTTTACTGCAATTACAAATTTTGATTATTAAAATACAAAAAATTCAAAGCAGCAATTGAATTTTCTGAAAGTGCATGCCGTCTATCACTAAGAATATTGGTATATGCCGAAAAACTTCGTTCTACATCTATATATATATATTTTTTTAATATAAATAAAGAATAAAAATTAACTTACCGCTTTGCATTAAATGAAATAAACATAACTAAAATTTCAAATGTAAAAACATGTACTGAATTTTTAAAAATTGTTGCCAATTCTTGAACAGCTTCACTTTCCTCATTAATGATTTCTTCTTCAATATAAAATTTACATAATTGTGGTATATGTTGGTTAATCCAAAAAACAAACTTAAACCATGAATTCCAACGGGTTTTCACAGGTAAAGGTGGTAATGTAATTGAATTTTGGTTAGAAGGAGTTGTGGTAGAAGAAATAAAGGAATTTAAAAAAACAGTCCATCTTCTTTACGAGCAGGATAATGAATGAAGGATTTTTTATATTTGCTACAATTTTAATTAGAAATTTGAAACTTTTATAACTAATCCATGTTTCTCCAACTAAGTTTAAAATGTGAGCTAAATAATGGTTATGCTTTAATTGGGAATTAATGAAGATAATATTTGAAAGGCTTTTATCATATATGCTGCATTATCAGAAATAAAAAAAAATAAGATTATCATGAGAAATATTATAAAATTGTAAGGTTCTTATAACTAATTGAGCAATAATAGTACTATTAATGTTATCATCCAAAAATTCTGTTTTGACTAATTTAGTTTGGTTACCAAAACTAAACATTATATTGATAGCCGCCCAACCACAAACATCTGTTGTTTCATCAATAGTAATAGATATACGCTAATTATATACTATTTCTTGTATGCTAAAAATCTCCATATTAAAGACTATTTTTTTCATAATAAAGAAGAGCCTGCAATAGCTTTACCTATAATATAATTAATGAGTTAATAACATGTTAAATGATAAATTAAAAAATAAAATAGATTTTACATACCATTTTTACAAAATTCCAAAAAAAAGTCCTTAAGTTTATCTACTTTTTCAAGTAGTATGTTTGCTTGTGTAAATGCTTTTACTAAAGCAGTATTAAAGACTTCACGTTCATTTAACTCATTATTATTGGCATTGAGAGTGGTTTGACGAGCTCTTATTTTATTTTCAACTTTGCGCATATTTTTTTTATATTTGTCTGATTTAAATGTATATCTAATGTGGATTTTTTTTATGGTCTAAGACATTTTGGCAAAATTCACAAAACAATATTTGCCCATCAACATAAAAATTCTTTTTATATTCTGAGTTTTTAAGTCTATGCTCAGTTGCTGAAACTATTGTAAAAAAGAGATAGTGAAAAAATGATGAATATCTTGCATCATGATCTTAATTTATAAATCTTAACTGCGGATATATTATATGATATGCGAAAAATGTGAACTTAATTAAATCTGTGACAGCATATACTATTGCAAAAAATCGTAACTTCTGCATATATTATGCCACTGCAAAAAATAGGTCACCCTAGTTCGATGTAAACAGATTAACTGATTGTTAATAAAATAAACAGAAAAGTGTGTTTCTCTTTCTAAAGATGAGCGAGCTCTCTTAAGAAACTGAAAATTAGTTTATAGTATAAATACTAAGATAACGATCTGATACAAATATGTCTTTCTTCTGAAGAACCCAACATTTCAGATATTGAAACAAAAATCATAAATCAATATAATTTGAATGAAAATGTTACTCTCAAAATAAAACTTCCTACTGTTGCAGATTATAAAGAGTTAAATGAAGTCTTATTTAATAATTATAAAAATAACTACGTCTCACTAAAAGATAATTATAAAATAACAAAAGATAATCCTATTATTGTCAAAAGCGTTGAAGGTTAGTAACATTAAATTGCATGTTATTTTATAAGAGAAAATTTATTGTTCTTAATATTTCAAACTCACTTAAGTTGATATTCTCTATTTACATTCTGTTAACCTTTAATATAGTTCAAGTACTTAATGAAATATAGGTCTATTATGAAGATCAAACCATTACTTTAAGTCAACAATTGTTAAATTATGGAGGATAACGATACTTAATATAAAAAAATTGAAAGGGTTTATCAAATTTTGATTGGATATATCAGAAAATATTACGCTATGTCACAGAGAGAACAAAGATTTAAATTCAGAAACTCCTATTTTTAAATTGTATAATACAAATGAAAATGCATTAGAGATTGTAATTAATAGTAAGTATTATATACGATCAAAATTAAATTATTTATAACAATATTTTAACTGTGATCTTTCATTACTAAATGTCATGAGTAGAATGTTAAAATTAGCCATCCATGATAAAGATGAACCTAATTTTGAATATATATCTCTTGCATTCAATCATGAATTTAAAGATGATTCAAATTATATTTGAAATTTCATAATTATATTACATTATGTCATTACAAATCTAAAGACAGAGATAGTTACATGCCTTATATTTTCATTGTACAATCCTCAGATTATGGTAAATTGAGATTCATTAAAGAATATATAAGGCAGGTCTATATCTTATACTTAAATTTAGGTATTGATCTAAATTGTTTTCCCTGCCCATCAGCTTGTGCAAAGAAATTTATCAAATTTTTTGAACTTGTCAAGTAAAATGGTTCAATAATTTTTTAGTAATGGCTATTTCTTTGATAGATACTAAATATAATTCAAGAGAA